TAAAACTTTAAACCGCTAACACTAAAAATAATTTACCTATGTTTGTTTTTAAAAATGTTTAAAATAAATAAAAAATAAAAAACATAATAAAAAACAAACCTATTAAAGCAAATTATATTATAAAATTAAATAAATAAATTAGCTTTTAAAATATAACTAATAAATATTAACAGTTAATATTATAGTTTTTAAAGCAATTAAAATATATAAAAAACGCTAAAACCAGCAAAAAAAAAAACATTTTTAACAGCAAATAAATTATAAATTTTATATAAAAAAGCATTAAAAATATCGTATGTTAATTTTTAACATATAGCTAAAAGTTTTAGCAAATATTACAATAAAAAAAAACTATAATTTTATAATAAAAATTAAACCTATTTTTTAAAATTTATAATTTTGCGCTTTGCTAGCAAGCTTTATAAATTTTTTTTTTAAATTGTTTATAATTTAAAATTTAACAATATTATTATTTTTAAACCTAATATTTTTTTTTAAATAATATTTTTTTAAATTATTAACTATAATTTATTGCACAATAAAAGTTATATTTATAACTTTAAATATAATTAATTTGCGTTTTGCTAGTAAGCTATATGCAAATTTATAATAAAACTAAAACAAATTAAAATAGCAAACGTTTATAAACACTAGGTTTGCATAATTGTTTTGCCAAGCTTTAGCTCCGTTTTTTGTAATTATTAAAGCTTTGCATTTTAAAATAAACTACTTTATAGCAATTTTTTTAAAAAAAAATCTATAGTTAGTAAATTTAAAGCAAAAAGCAGTAATGCAATAATATAACTTATATATATCGGCATTTTATTTATGTTAAAAATATTTATAAAATAAATATAAAACAAAATATATATAGCGTTAGCAAAAATTTGCTTAACATTTTATAATATAATTTAACGGCGTTAGCTCGCGATTTATTTATATATATAAAATGCGGGCTAAAAATTTTTAATTTTAGCCGTAAAGCTATACTAGCTGCAGTAAATAGTTATTATTTAACAAAAAGCTTTAAAAAAACAAAATTAACATTTAGTAAATTAGCAACAAATCGGCAATAAAAGCTTTTAAACTAGGTTGTTATTTTTATTACAAACAAAAATATATTTGTTTTTATATACTGGTTTAAATAAAATATAAGCTTAAATAATTAATTTGTTAAAACAAATAGCATTAAAAATTAATATAGCTAAAATTTAAAAAAAATAATAAACAATAAAATATATATAAAATAAATATAAAAATATTTACAAGCTAATATGTTTTGTAACCGCTTTTGCAATTAATGTAAAAAAAAAAAAACTAACATTTTTAATTAAATAACGCATAAAAAAATCGCTTTTTTTAGGCTAAAAACTATTAAATATTTTTTAAAAATAATGTTAGCAAGTTATAAAACTTTTAAATTTATTAAAAATTTTGCGCTAGCTATAAACGCAGTTTTGTTTTTTTTTGCTTTATTTTTTAAAGCAAGCGTTTTTTACTAAAATTGCAGCTTTTTTATTGTTGTTTTTTATAAAATTTTATTTTTTATTACAAAGCTTAATATTAAATTTTTCTAATTAATTATTAGTGTGCAAAAACATTATAAAGTTAATATTAATAAAGTTAACAAAAATTTTAACAGATAAGTTTAATGTTTTGTTTAATTTACTTTGCGCTAGTGTTTATATAAAACTAGCGCCCTAGAAAATTCACCCTGCAAAAACGCCACCCTAGCGGCCCCGCCCTGCAAAGTTTTACCTTGCGCACACCTAACCAAAATACACGCAGGGTAAGCTCCACTAGAACTAGCGCCCTAGAAAACCCACCCTGCAAAGTTTTACCCTGCGCCCACTTAATTAAAACACGCGCAAAATAAGCTGTATTAAAACTAGCGCCCTAGAAAATTTACCCTGCGGGAAAACTGCCCTGGCAATTTTGCCTTAAAAACTCCACCCTGCAAAAACTATTTCCAAAGCATATAATCCGACAAAACGGAAAAAAAAAAAACAACAGTAATATAAAAAAACCTAGGCACCACGCATAAAATAACTAAATAATAAATTTTTTTTTGTTAAATTAATTAATATATTTATTATTTTAAACTATTATTTAATTAACAAGTAAACTTGCAAACAGTATTATTTTCACCTAGTTTGCACACTATATTTTAATTTATAGTATATAGTTTATATAACTAGCTATTAAACAATTTACTTTTAACATTTAATATTATTAAAAATTTGTTTTAAATCGTTAAAAATATTAAGCAGCAGCGGTTTTTAATTTTTAGCATTAGCAGCAGCGCTTTTTTGCTTAGCTTTTTTAATTGCTTTATTTTTTACAAAAAAAGCGGCAACGCGTATAATATATGCAAACTTGCGGGCTTTAACAGGTTTTTTAGCAGCAGCAGCTTTATATTTTAAAAATATAGCAAATAATATATAAATTAATTAAAAAACAAAAATAAAAATATAATAATAAATAACAAAATAAATAACGCTAAAATATAATAATAGCTAAAAACTAAACAAAAAATAATAGCAACAGCTAAAAAAAAAAAAAAAAAAAAAAGGCTAAAATTTTAAAGCAAATAAATAAACTACGGAACACATACGAAAAAGCGGGAAAACTAGTGCAAAACAATATATAAATACAAATTTATAAATATTTAAATACTATAACATAACAAAACAACAATACAACAATAACCGTATACTATATAACACTAACTAAATTACACTTTATATATATTACAAGCTATAAATACCTTGCTATAAAAAAAATAATTATTATATACGGGTTATTAAACTAACAAAATTTATTCCCACTTTTTCTATATAAATATATTTTACACACCTAGTTTATACCTAATTTTTACCTTTTTTAAACTTTAGTTTTATATAAAACCTATTATTAAAATATTGTAATTTATTATACTTAACCTAATATATTTCCCATTTATAACAACTTTATATTTTTAAATATTTTTTTAATAAAATATTAATTTTTTTATATTATTATTTCATTAAAATTTTTAAGTTTTTTGTTAGCATTTTTATATAGTTTTTTATACTGTACATTTTACCATATAAAATATAGTTTTTAAAACATAAAAAAAAACCACTTAAAAAAATAATAAAAAATTTAAATAAAATAATATAAATATATAAAAATTATATAAATTTATATTTTATTAAAAATATTTTAAATATAAAATATTAAAATTATATCCCACTTTTATTTAATAGTAAAAAATTGTTAAATATATAGTATAAACAAAAATTAATTATAGTGTTAACAAATTTATTAATAATTTATATATAAAATTATTAACGCAAAAAAATTACAAACTTTAAGTTTAAATAAAAACTTAAAATTATTATATATATAATTTTTTCTATTTTTTTATAAATATTATATAAAATTTCCCGCTTATTTTTTCAGACTAGCTATTTTTAGCTATTTTCTCCACTTTTATAATAATTTTTAAACGTTAATTTTAAAAAATTTACATTTTTTACTTTAAAATATTATAATTAATTAAAAAAAATACCTATTATTTTTTTTTCATTTTTTATAAATAAATTAAAGTAAAGCTAAATTTAAATTTTCAAACTAACCTATTTTAGCTATTTTACCCACTTTTATAACAAGGGTTTAATATTTTAGTTTTTTAAATTTTTAGGTGGTCCGTGAGGGGGTGGGCCGTAAGCCGGTAGGTCAGCTTACTCAGTAGGTATGTAGGTAATCACAGAGATAGATACCTACTTAGATATATACTGGACCACTCAAGGAAGCTTGCCTACCTCATTAATAAGCCAGCATTCAGTCAGTATTGGGCAGTGCCGTAAGTTTTGCCCCTGAATTTGAATAATTATATAGGTATATAGGGAAAACTTATATATATTTACTTACATTAGAACACCGCATTTAACGATGGACCGGCACTTGTTTTACTTAGCTGTATCCTTGGGACCACCGCACGGGACTTCTCGTAAATAGTAGATAAACGCGAAGATACGAAAAAGAAGATGAAGAAAAGGAATGAAGAGAGGACAAAGTCGTGGGCTGTCATCGTAGCCCCTAGCGAGTTGAGAATCTTATCGCGGATAGTTGCTTTACTCTTGTCTGGTATATTTGAAAGTAGGTGATGTATTCAACATATATGACACCACCATCCTTATCAATTCCGCTCTTTTTTTCCCTGTTGCTGCTACTACTACTGTAAATGCTGTTGTTATCACCATCTTCATCATGAATATGGGAGAGCCAGCCAGTCGAGGATCAACTAGCTTTAGTATTCAGACGCTTTTATACAATGGTACAGGATGGGATAGACGACAGCGTATATATAGGTACATTTCTAATGGTATTATCGCTCTACTCTACTATATGGGAGTAAAGAGTACGGGGTGGTGGCAGCCCTGGAAGCTTGGGATCTGGACAGATAAGTACAAATACAGACGCAGTACTATATGGACACTTACGATACCTGATAAGCATACTGATAGCTAGATCCTTGAGATGGATAGATGGAGATATGTATTTCTATATATTTCCGATACTTACTCGAAATGTCCTGTACATCTTTTACCTGCTGCTGCATTGACTGACTTTATGAACTCTCCTGCTATCATGATCATGTAGGGTCGGAGCGAGGAGTGAGTTTATAAGGGGCGGGGAAGGAAGAGGAAACGGTGCAAGCAAAAAGCGTACGATTTACTATCATGCTTGCTATTGACTCATTGTCTATCAGCTAGGTGTTCACCAACTATCTAATCTGCTATGTAAGCTACAAGGCTCACTTCTAGAAGTCAGGAGCTCGGTTCATGATACAAGGATCTCACAGCGGCGGACTGCGCCTAGATTTAAGTGCTTTTCTAGTGATAAGTTGGCAAAAAAGAAAATAAAAAGATTGGATATCCATATTGATTCTTCTAAAACCTGGAGAAAAAACAGAAAGAAAAATTGAGGAGGAATGAAAAAATACTCATAATGCTCTCTCGATCGGGGAATCGAACCCCGGCCACCTGCGTATGATTGCATGACAAGCAGGTATCCTTACCACTAGACCAATCGAGACTCTTGTCGCCCGAACTGCGTGTTGTTTTTAAACTGGTTGTATGTTACAATCTATATATAACTTGAGCTCTAACCATATCGGAAAAATCAAGTTTCCAGTTAATCAAGATTGATTACAACATACTGAGGTTACATATTTATCTAATATTAAATACATAAGGCTCTCTGCTAGCACTGCTTATATTTGCCGTATACTCCAAACTTTCCTCGAGAAAAATGAAAATGTATCCTTGCCCACATCCCACGTGAACTTTACAAGCGTCCATCTAGAATAACGCCTGTGAACTGATTCAAACACCGAAACCTCTTTTAGCATGTAGATATGCAGATCTCAGCACAACGAACGCATGTCTTCTGGACGTTTCCGTGCATGCCAACCTGCTACCTACAGATAGACATGCATGTACAGTACGTAAGGTGGGCATGCAGTTCTACCCCCCACCAAATGCCGATTACCATTGTAGGCAGGCATTTAGTAATATGAATACCTAAGCAGACGTGTAAAATGTTGTGCATTTGAGAGCATAGTATTGTGCCGGTATATGTGTACGAGCTAACTTGGAGAGACAAGTGAATGATTGCATGAGTGCTGAGCTAGAGTTGGCGACAACTTACACCTACCACTAGCCAGCATGACGAGTAGCCGTGTCGCTTTCTGACTTACACCGGGGTCGTCATCACGTTATTCAATGTGTGAGTGTTGGTTTGTTTGAGATACATACAGTACAGTATAGACGGCAGGGTATAGGATGGGGTGCCACTTCTTCTCGACGTGCTTAGGTAGGAGAAGCATGCTTCGCTTAGAGTTCGATACACACGTCTACATGTAGTAGGTATACAGATAAAAAGAAACACGGTTTATTTAGTTAGTGTGTCGGCATATACGCATACATATGGGTCCCTGTGTATAAGTATAGTAGACGAGTAGAGTCGTACCGAGTGCCTGGCATGAAGCTGACGACCTTCCTTACTGAGAAGGCTTCTCTACACTGTCAGGTCCACCCGGTATCTACGTGCATGAAACTCTTCGGTTCGCCAGGGAGTGTTCTGATTGGTTCGTGTTTCTCTCTTGTCAATCAATCCGTTTTCGACGTCGATTACAGTGCTTGCATGTACATATGGATGGAATTCTTTCAGATGCTTACTTGGGTAATCCGCTGTTGGAGGCGGCAGTTGGCTGAAAATCTCCTACTACGCCTCCTGGGATCCTTGCTCAATATGTACGTTATGACGATGAGGCAGCCGGTCATGTGTGCGCTATGGAGCAGGACTGACGGGGGGAAGTATTTACACGACTGGGGGTTCTTTGAAATACTTATTCTTGGATACCAGTTATACCTAGCCGAAGGATGATCTTGCTCTTATATGTATAAAAAGGTTTTTGAAATAGTCGACCCCCAACGGTCAAGAAGAGGAAGAGATATCTCATTATGTCGAGGGGAATGAAACGTGGAGATAGAGAAGCACGCATGGCCGAAAAGAGGAAGTTCGTTTGTGCTGATTAATTCATTTCTCAACAATCCCGCTCAGGATATAAGTCTTTAGGTAAGAGAAGCTGCGTGATATAACATCATGCATCATGCGTCATACACTACATATACCTATACCTACACCAAAGAAAGGGGCGAGGCATACTGTCAGAGTTACAATTCGTGCATGCAGAAACGAGACGTTGCTGTCTGTTGTCTGCCTGTCTGTTCGAGATAAGTACGGTAGTGAGAACATCTAGAAGCCTTCCTATTCGAGATCCTTGACATGATTCCATCCTCGTCCCCATCCCCCGTCCTATCACTTATACATACTTATACATACATGTATCTGTATCCACTGGCTATTGGTCACCCGCCCATCCGCCCACTTGTTATATGCAGCAGCCGCAACTTTGCGTCGCATCGCATTGCACATCGCAGTTGTTTTCTGTATGTATGGAGCTACCTATGTATGTTGGTGATTTGCCCGCTTCATCCGTGTCAGTCAGTGTAGGGCATAAGATGTTTCTGATAGATAATCGTGCCCGCACAGTCTACTGTTTTTGCACTATATACTTCAAGTATACTATAGTGGTATTTCATGCCTGCTTGACCACAGATAGATAGATTTCATGGTTCGTGGGAGTATGAGACACGGCTGGCGTGTCTGCAGAGTTCGGTTCGCATGAGGAGCACTTGGGGTTATCGTCGCTTCGCATGCACGGGGGGGCTAACATGGGTTCTTGAAAACATACATACATACATACATACATACATACATACATACATACTGGATACAGTATTGTATTACGCATGCTAGCTGACCGACGACATGGCAGTGAGTGAGGTGATCGACGTTGCTTGTTGTCTGTATCCCACTCCTCCATTCAACGCAAGGAAGCCCAAACAAGTAGCTAGATAGTTGGTCGAAACAAGCGAATAGAGACGTCTCTTCCTATTCTGCTGCTTGTACGTGTAGTTTAATTCTGGTACTATCCTGAGCTGTGATTAGTTGAATAAATTTCAACGGTTTAGTATAGTTATAGTCTCACTACACTCATGATGACCCCGAATTTCTGTGTACAGTCCCATCTACAGGCGTTCTTTTCCCTTCCCCCTTTCTTTTGTGGCGAGGTGCCTTTCCGTTTCTTGCGGATGGATACGATAAAACATAGATAATTGGCGTTATACATATTCATATCACATACCATGTATTATGCCCTACTGTATTCATCATAATGTATCTCATTCTATGTCTCTTGCCTACTTAATCTATACATGCATGTACTGCTGTCCCAACAGTGTGATACTTGGCGTCGTCACTGCTGGGAAAGTAGTTTCGATTGAGATGTGGAAAAAGTTTTACTTTAAAAAGGGTACAGATCATACCCCGTAGTCCACCAGCTTGTGGAATGTATACAACGGGGAAGATGAAGATGGGTAAAAATTGCATCACTCAAGCATAGCCTATCGAAATACGCCAATGAAGAGGGAAAGAGAATAGGCACTCCACGTATACCATGTAATTTTACTCTCACGCCTTCTGTACTAGCTTTGCCTACTCAGGACGCATATTTTATTTTCCCTTTTTGTCTAGCTGTAGCACCTAGGCTGTCTGTGTGGTTGTTGTGTGGTTGTTGTGTGGTTTGTGTGGTTTGCCACGGGTAAGCGCTAATAGCATTCTTCACTTTTTTTTTTTTTTTTGGCCCCCTTAGTCAAGTCACGTTAGTGGTAGGACTCATTTCCTAACTTAATTTCGTCTTGTTTCAAATTTTTTTTCTTCTTCGCCAGGGGTGTTCCTCTTGGAGCCTTAGATGCTGATCACGGCTGAGAGTATTATCATTTGGTTGTCGAGGCGAGTGACAAAAAAGTAGGGACACCTGTGGGTGCAGCAGGTGGTGTTAATGGCGTAGGGCACCACCTACAGGTGTCCCTACTTTTTTGTCACTCGCCTCGGTTGCTAGGCATTTGATTTGATTTAAGGTAGTGGAAACACGACGCCAAAGCTGTTTCATGATCCGTTTCTCTGAGGGGGTTTGCGTGGCCTGTAGGCAGGTCAGGTATACCGGTATATCGATATTGAATTATATTCTGTCTTTTTAGACTTTGATGAGGTAGATCATAGTAAGTCGGGAATATTCTCACATACCTATGTAAGTAGGTAAGTAAGACAGCAAGCCTCATTAGATAGATTTCGGCGCCTTCCGAGTTCAAATCGAAATCCAGCTCACAGACCTCGGCCCTATCCGACGCAGTGGATGTGGATGCCATCAATGGCGAGCCACGCACGTCTGCCTATGTCCGGGTGTCCGAGTGGAGTAGGGCAGTGTATACTACACAAGAGCATGAGTATATCCTACATATATCCCCCGTAAGAACATCAAAAAGTAAGTAGATATATCTAAGTTATACCAGCAGCAGAGTAGTCGTAGTATCGTATCGTAGCATGTTATGGTATCAATCGTCTAGGACATATCCTTCCCTCCCTCTCTCTTTCTCTCTTCCCTTCCCTTCCCTTTCCCTTCCTAACCTTCCTGTTCTGTGTGATATCGTACACATGACACCAGCTAGTGAGATAGCAACAGGTAAATAAAGATATTCATATCCACCCTGCTTCCACTAGATGGAAACTGGGACGAAAACGCAAAATTAAAAAACACCAAAAGCTCGAGACGCCAGAGATAGCAGATCTTCATTTGATTCCCTTTTGTGTGGATGCCGTAACAGGCTTAGCATGGGCCCTTCTTCCCTACATATATCGTGCCTGAGAAAGAAATTTTTATCGTAGATCCCGTAGTCCCATCGTTCCTTGTTTCTGTTGTACATACGACCATGTAAGAGTATAAGATGCTTTGGAGCAATGTCCCGTGTGCCAAAATTCGACTTGGGTATTTTGCCACGTCTGACGGAACGCCCCAAAAATTCCAAAAATCCAAAATGCATTAGCGCTATTGATTTTTTTCTTGAACCGTAGATCGCCACCCATGTCGGCAGAATTTGACTCCATGCCAACAAAGAAGGTGGTATTGAACGTGTTTTAGCCTGGTATCGCTTGGGCCGGGATGGTATAGCAAGATAGCCTGTGACCGGACACCCGCTTACCGCCGCTTATTCATGGTCTCGGTGATAGAGGCGCTGCCGCTATCGTAATCCCAGTGTCGTTTGAGACCACCCGATTCGTAGACACTGGCTACGGACTCCTGCCACATAGCCGGCGTCACAAAAGCTTGCCCAGGGGGAGCCGAATACTGCTGGTGAGGTAACGGTGGCGGCGGGGCCGGTAGGGATGCGTTGGCGATGGCCATATCCTGAGTAGTAGGAACTTCGGGAGCACCTGAGGAAACGTTTAGAGAACTTGACTGAGGAGTCACCGATGCCGGTTGGGGTGGAAGTGGCGTACCAAACGTTGAATTCCATTGACTTTCAGGGTGTAGGTGTTAGCTATCTCAGATACGACGAGTATGCAAGTGTCATAAGTAATAGATGGAGGGGTTACCACTTACTCGAAAATTCTAGATGGATTCCACCCAG